GTTTCATGCAGTCGTCATCCCGAACTCTCAGTCGGGAACTCAGCCCTTCCAACGCAGTCACCGATAATGCTGGAGCGGATCACATGAGTCGAAATTGTCCCGGATCGTTTCGAGGGCTGTCGTTGCTTCCTCCGGAAGGTCAACGTCCTTGGCCGACTGACTGACTGTCTTCTCCTAAGATGTCCGAGTGTCTAGCCTTCGTCTGATTCCCCGCCCTAGCAATCGTTGTCTCCGTCGTCGAGGTCTTACCCCCGCAGCCGCCGCTCACTTTTAGCCGCCAATGATATAATAAAGATTACTCTAAATCCTGCTTTATCCCCATCTGAGCCTAAGCCCGGAGGAGCCGCTGCTGTGGCGGATCTCGACCGACGACCGTCTTCAGCGTGGTCCGCAGTCGTGCAGGTTCTGCTGCCGCGAACGTATTGATTCCAATTATCAAGCGGACCGTGACTTCTTCGAATGTTCGGATTCACTGAGCGTCGGCTTTCCGAAACTCTTCGCCCAGGCGGAGTTTTCCCCTCTAGCTGATCTCTCGATCTTTCCAAAGAGAAAACGTTTCCCCTTTTCCAAATTGATCCCTCCCCCCTTGTGGATTCGAGCGTGAGCTGTATCATTATAGGGGAACTTGAGTTGACGTGTCGACTATGATGCTCGATTCAAGTATGCAGATCAGAACGAGCCCTTTCAGTGGCGCCGGCGATTCAGTCGGCAGCGGATGTGATGATAAGGGTTGTCTCTGATCGGAGTCAAGACGTCGTCTCTACAACATCCTGCGGAAGTGGGCGATAAACGCAGCGAGGATGAATAACCGTAAACAAAGGACGTTGTCGATGACTAGAAGCGGCCATAAATGCCAATTGAATTGTTTGCAACCGCGGTTTTGACACCGATTCCCCACTGTTGCTCTAACAACTGATACGACGGGAAGCTACCCCGAAGATAGCGAAAGCTGCCTCCGAGCGACCAGGAGTTGCATCCCGGAATCGCCTAATTCCAAAACGAAACTAGCCAGATGGTCTCCGAGGAAACGATTGAAGCATCTGGCAGTACACGTCTCTTAGTTCGCGAGCCGACGGCTGGTTCCCTTCCGGAGCTTCCCCTTCAGTTCATAAGGTCCGTTGCGATCGCGTAGTCCGTTCGGTGCGCGCCCATCTAATAACTTATGTGACTAAAGGGAAAAAAACGAGCGCAAATAGCGGGAGTCTCGATTTATCTTGATTTGTTTCTTTGCTGTCGTTGTTGGTCGAAGCCGTGTCGGTCGCCGACGACGTAGTTGTCCCGTGGTCGTTCTCGGTGGGTGTCGGCCGTGGTTATAAGAGCGCAAGGATAGCGTAGCTTGGCGCTTGCTCGCTCGTTTGGCCTGCTTTCTTCCTCGTGTACCGACCTTCGCGCTGAGCAACGTTGCGTCTGACCGGACGGACGGTCTGCAAACCATTTAGCTCAGACCGACAGACGGGGGCCGCTCGCTCGCTCGCTCGCTCGGCGGAGCGATCGACCGACCGACCGGGCCACAAAGCGTTCCAAATGAAGACATACAACCTCAAGTAGGCATGAAGCCATTTGTAAGCCACAAGCACGGATTCTCGCCTAGACTCAAATCGCTATCAATCGTCATTTAACGCCGAAGCGAGCCAGCCAGCCGGGCGGCCGGCCACTCAAACAACATCCACGTTTACGACTTGCGACGATACTCTCAGACCGAAACAGACTGTCGTGCTGAAAGGGACGCGTCATCCGCACGACGGCGACGTGCCGAAGCGTTTTCCCCATGCACGGATGCGGGCTTTCGTATTTCGATTTCATGGGCTCGACAAATCGTCCGAATACTCCTATCGAATGAACACCGCGGGAAGAAGACGACGAGGATCGCGGAGCAGAAGGCCGGGGAAATGAAGAGAAAAAAAGAAGATTGAGAATCCTTGCTTCGGTCTTGATCCTCGAATCCATTAGAGGACGGTCTGTCAGTCCGCGCCTGAGTCGGTATCTCCGGGTCCGCTTTTACCCTTCGTCGTCTTCGTCTTTTTCGTTTTTCTTCTCCTGCTTTTCTTATGCAAATTATATTCAATCCCTGGATCTTCTACCCAAGTGTGCTTTGGCGGAGGAAGAAAGTTTCTTTAAAATTTCTCTGCTTATGCTTCCGGTGGTGGGAGAGAAGTGAACGGAGAGATGGTGGAAAAGGGCGAATGGATGGAGATCTTTCATCAGCGATGGTCGGAACAGGATACTGAGGATACAAAGTTGAACGGTGTTCATTGGTATCTCATCATATTCCGTTGCCCTCGAAAGCTCTGATCCATTTTTTTTTATCTAATGAAGAGATATGCATGCCTTTTTGCGAGAGTTTGCGATAGCTGCGTGGGAATAGCTTCGGTAGTTGGAAGCACCGAGTTTCACGACGCTTCGATTAACGTCCTCGGGCCAGAACCGCTAGTATTGCAGCTTGATCGTCGGTCTCGACTCGACGGAAAGTGGGTCAAACACGTAAGGTCAGCGCGTCGTGCGAATTCTCCCATACGCGAGATGACAAGGAGCCGAAGAAGGCTCTGAGGATGAGGACAGATTCAGTAAAATTCTCATTCGAGGAGAACGAGAACAATCCCCGGACCCGTCCGTTACGAGCACAGCTACGGTGCGGTCTCGGAACAGAGCCGGAGTCTCGTCAGCGGCTCGAGGATTTTCAGCCCGATTCCTAGACTTAAGGCTTCGAGGAATGGATGGTGGGATCGGAAGACGAGACCACGGTGTTAATTTGAGATATATGCAAAATATCGAGATCCATACCGCTTTAGAGCCATCATGAGCCGCGCCGTCCGAGGCGAGAAGGTTAACCTTTCCGAAAACTCGTGACCTCGAATCGGAGTAGCGCCTCTTCACTGTTCCCGAACTCGAGCCTCGTGCCATCAAGAGCAGGGGACAGTGTCGGAATAATAGCCTGAAATGCGATGAGACAGGAATTTCTATTTTGATGTCCTCTGTAGATCCCCTCCGGGAAAATTCCAGTCCAAGGGAGCGCCGCTACATCATGCATTGGAATTCAGTGTTTCATCCGTGAGCAGAGCTTTTAGGTCCCGGGAGATGCTCTTTGAGCGAAGGCAGAAGCTCCTCGAGCATCGTGTTCCTCTCTTTTCGCCACGTCACGTCCCACGTCGTGGAGCGGAATGGCAAACTGGGAACAGGAACAAAAAACGAGGACGGGAAAAGTGACGTGGGGAGAAAATGATGCAGAGAACTTGTGGGAACGCTTGAACGGGGACGTCGACAAAATGAACGACACCCCTCCATCACGTCGTTCTTTTTTCTCCGCTTTGCGCCTCGCAGCATTCCTCGTTTGCATTCGGCATTTTTTCATCCTGAGATGATGGCTGTGACGTTGTGTCGTCGAGGGAGCCGCATTCAGCACCGCCTCGCACTCGTCCGCATGCATTCCGCGGAACAAACGGCTTTCCGGGAAAAGTGAACGGTGTATAAATCGAGAAACCAGACTCATGACGCGAAGTTATTGTATCCAAGAGCGGCCGATGAGCCGCTCGACCGTAGTGTGCCCTTCTGACGAATTTCGTCGAAGCTTCTTCGTCGAGTCGGATTGCCTCGGGAGCCAAGCTGACACGTCTAGCCGCACGCTATCGCCGCGATGAAAGTACCTACATAGCTATACTCACCAGCTGCTTTTCGAGCCAGCAGGCTGAATTCCCCTCTCCTCATACTGGGCTGTGCACAGCGAAACCTTATCCGGCAGCAGAGTCTGACTTCTCCCCGAGATCCCCGCTAGACTCCGGTCGAAACTCCCGGCGAGAATTCCTATGAGAATATAACCACCGGCAATAGTGGAACTACTGATGCTCAACCGCGCAACGTGCGAATATAATTGTTATAAATTGAAGAAGTGTCGAGCCACAGTGTCGCGTGAATCGAATAACAGCTACAAACAGCGAAAGCAGCAGCAACGAGGGAAGCCATAGTTTCCAAAAAAAGGGTAAAACCAACCACTGAATAATTCTACGACTCATCCCACTCCGTGCTCGCTTTGTCGCTTTATGGACTTTTGCATAACCAGCAACAATACTCCTGTCGTGCGGCAAAAGGAGCTCGCAAGGCCCTCAAATGAACTAGGGTTTGAGTTTCGTCGCTAGGTACTCGCGATGCTCGCTTCAGGCGGGAACGAAACTCTAGATAGCTTTCATGACTGTAACACTCAGGTCGCCGAGAGGATTGCGGAGACCAAATTATACTCTTCGCACGATAATGTTCTGCGCAAGCGCATCGGCGATCGCTCCGAGTGAATCGGCCGTATCCAGCCGAGTCTGGTCTTCGATTCAATTTTTGAGACATATCCGGAATCCCCCCGTGGATATCGCATTTTTGAGACCGTGTCCGATATCCCGGTAGGATAACTCGGTCTACGGCGACACGTTTGTTTCGGAACAAATACTCTGTTTGCCTGCACTCCTGGCCTGCTCCTGAATCGTTGCGTTGTCCTTTCCCTTAGCAGCTTCCTCTCGCTTATTCCCCTCCCGTTCCTCAGTGACGCATTAAATCTCGGACGACGGTAGTGGTGGTGGTGGTGTCGTTGCTGCTGCGTAGGGGATAGGGAAAACCAAGTCCCGCCCATGGGGAGCATCATGGCGATGGTCGCCTCCCTATCCCGGGCGACGAGGAAGACGATCACAAGCACCGCTACCGCTGGCTTCGCCGACTGAGAGGACAGGAACGACCGACAATATAATTATTCCTATGATCATTGCTCCCCAGTTTCAACGAGTCGTAATTGAGTCCTCCGCGGCTATTATCCGAATTCTCGGTGGGGGTCGATGGAGTTCCCTGGAAACCGAAATCCTCCAGGGTTCCCCATCGAAATGTTCTTGAAATGTCCCTGCTCTTAACGATGACGGCGACGCCGACCTCCGATCGGGTCGTCCTCCTGGCCGATTCCGAGCGAGAAGGCCTGGGAACCGCAAAAGTTACTGGTCTCGTACTAAACAACGGTATTTGCTCGCTTCCAGGTGTGGTTCAAGAATCGTCGGGCCAAATGGCGCAAGAGGGAACGCAACTCTACTGATTTGAAAAACGGCTTCGGAACTTCTCAGTTCAACAGCATCATACAGCCTTTCACAGATCCCCACGATACTGCAGGTCTATACCCTTCCGCCTATCCGACGAATACCTATTGGGGAAAGGTGAGAACGATCAGCTTCATAATTTCGTCCGTCGGGCATAGTCCATCTCGGAGGGAGAAACCCGTATAGGGTACGTAACTCGGACTTGACTGATCGATCGCTTTCGCAGGTATCCAGTCCACTTGGATCTAAGCCATTTCCTTGGCCCCTGGGCCCCACGGGGGCCGCGAGTCCCCTCCCGCAAGGTATGGGAAGCTGCTTTCAAAACAGTTCGGTGGTTACCTCCGTCCCTCCTTCGCCACAGAGCACTTCGTCCTCACTTAGCGCCACCTCGACGGCTACTATTTCCTCCACAAGCAGTGCAGGTAAATCCGGTTCTGGCAGTGGGCTGGCCTCGTTTGTCGGAGCCCTTCAGAGAGAGCGTGTCGCATCGAATTGATTGCGGGCTCTGACTGAGCGGGATGTATTTCCATTCACCAGATGAATACTCAATTCGTTCGGGGGGTCCGTATTCCGCGCCAACGTTACCGTACGCGTACAGCGGACATTCTTCACGCATCAACTGTGGACAAAGTGAAAACCTAGTGGTCGCCTCGTCAACGTCATCAGTTCTCAGCCAAGGCAATGCTACACCGAACCTCAGTAACAGCATCGCTTCGTTGCGACTCAAGGTATCTGAAGCTTTCGGCGACGAATGAGGGGGGATTTCGAGGGAAAAATCTAAGAACTCATCCTGAACGAACTCGCATTAATTCGGAGCAGTCTTCGGAATCTTTCCAGGCAAAACAGCTCAGCTCTGGCTACGCGAACGAAGTTTCCCCGTATTCGCCCTCGTGTAGCACATCAACTTCGTCGCCTAATACGACGCCTACCCCAAGAGTAGCACCTCTATCGCCGACTCCGCCGTCGCACATCACCAACGCTCACAGCTACCCACCAGGGCCTAGCGATAATAATGCTGTATAAATGAAAAAGAAGGAAACCAAAGAGTGACGAAGTATGAAGCAGACAAACAAACAGACGGAAAACCGCGAAATAGCACAGGTCTGCTCGCCAGCGCGGAAGCGGCAGGCCCTCTTGACAACCGGCAGCAGCAACAGCTAACGCGGAACGGGAGTAGTTGAAGAACGAAATAAGTCTCACTCTCTCTCTCTCTGTATACAATGCATCCAGTCCAGTAGGTCATGCATCTAGTCAGTCCTAGATAGGTTACAGACGAACCCAAAGAAACACCTGGAACTCTAGCTGTACCACAGGCCGAAGAAAAAAGAAAAACGAAGATGAAAATTCCAGCGCAAATCATCTATCGGAACAACAACGGCGTTGGCAAACTTCCCTGTTCTACCATGTAAACACAGTGTCACCGTTCGGGTGACGGATAACCGTTCCGGTTCAAGTTTTGCCTTCTGAGTGCGGGACGTTGAGTTATTCACGGAAGTTTTTTATGCATTGCCGAAAAAATCGTAGAGCGGACTATCCGAGTCGGTTGATCGGCGCTGACTGATGAATCAAGCGGAATTTCTATTGGCAATCAACTTTCTGCACCCGGCCGATCGAGGAACGAGCCCTCGTTCGAGAAGGTGATGTATTACTGATGTTATCTCTCCGCTGGGCCGACCGACTCCCTTTCTAGTCAACTCAAGTGCAAACATACTCCGACCCCGTCCGGAGACGACTACCTACACACCTTCTAATGGAGATTGATTTCGATACGGGTTCTTATTGCGTTTAAACAAATCGTAGACGTATCAATCGGAGAGAAAAACCCAAATAGAGACAAGATTGTAAAGCTGACAGGAATCGGAGGGATATATTCACTGTTCTTTCAATGCTGTCTCGCATACTCGCAGCAGAAAACCAAAACACACGGCTCGTCATGATTCATGACATGAGCCTGATCTATAAACGACGCCATCAGACTTGAAATATATGAATACTGACGAGTCGTCCGCACTGACGACGATTACAATACTGACAATAATAATAATAAGGATGATAATAACAATAACGATGATATTAACAAGAGTAATTTAATTAATACGATAATTGATGATATCCGTAAGGGAGAATCACTTTGATTCGATGCGATCCTCCGATGGTGCGATCGATCGATTGACTTACGATCCGATCGATCCCATCTGTTGCTCTCGACCGACGACAGGAAAGCGAACAAGCAGCGAAAAAACGTATTCACAAATCAATATCGAACAATACAGTCCAAACAACGTTTCCATCCACCTGAAAATGACCACAGCGCCGTCCTTCCTCCTGTATAGCAGCCCGAATCGCCTGTTGTAGGGTTGGTAGATGCCGCAGAAAATGTTTGTCCTCAGAACCACACTCGGATCGGACTACGCTGATCGGCAGCGGAGCAGGTGTGATAGTTGAGGGAGTACACAACGACGGACGGACGAATGTATGAATGAGTGCTGGAGTGACGCAAAGTATTGCTGTTTTGACATGATTGCTTTGCTGCGTCTCACGCGGTTTAGTAGACTGATTGAATGATTGATTAACTAAGCAGCTGACTGATTACCCGATCAGGCGATGACGGCTTCGTTTCCGGGACTCTGTTGTCGATTCGGCCTCGTCGATCGATCAGAAGCTGCGCGCAGACGGTCCGCCCGATGAAGTGAGAGTGTGAGATTCTGCACTCTCGATCGGACGTCTCACGTTTTTCCAATACATTGATACGATGTCGTTTGGCCAACTCGAACGAAGAGATGATACGTCGCGGAACTCAACTCGTTGACGCCATGTGACGTGATTGTATATATAGGCTTGTACTGATGAGAAGGCAGTTAGCGATCTGTAGAGCGGCGGGCTGGCCCAGATGAGCGGAGATGAACTCTCATCTGGTGCAATCATCATCATCACGTACACGGAGCGAGAAGAAGCATCGACAACAAGACGGAGAACAACAAACGAATGAAACTTGAGAGCTAAACGAATAATTGAGAAAATAAACTCCGATTCGACTTCTAATTTAAAAAAAACACTGAACACTAACTACGTATTTTCATTCCCAGACTATTTCTCTAAAATTATTATTTAAGCATCATTCACGCCTCATTACTTCATTTAAAATCAGGGACCCGCTCAGATTCAGACTCGGCGAAGGAGCTATCGCAGGATGATGAAAGATATCTCGAAGCCTCGAGTCAAGTCCCACGATGACCCCGTATGATCAGCTGGGAAATGAAGTGATGGAATATGCCTATTTTGCTCGGGTGGTGTTCGAGTATTCCGATCCGGTAGAACAGCAGATGATTTCCTCCGATTCTGGGCATCGATAAGATAACATCGGCCGCACACCATGCCACCGCTCTCATTTTCGTATGAATGTATTTCGGATGGATTCATGGAATCTCCGGAGCTCGCGGAGGATCCATTCAAAACTCCATCAAATCGTCGCCTCACGCGAGTCGGCACACCTGACGCACAGTGAGGCCGCAGCGGGCTTGGCACGGATTTGCACAAGCTGTATATGCGAGCGAGCGTGCTCGTCTCCTCACGACTGCTAAAAGCGCTGCGTGCTCAAGTGGTCGTTCTCACTTCAGGATTCCTCGATGTGAGACCGCTAGATGGGTGGCGGCAGCAGCAGCTAGCTCTTAGGCTCCACCGACACTCAATCCAAACATAATTGCCTGCGTCTCGTTCTCCCTATCGTCGTCGCATACTCGCTCTCCACCGGGACGCTCATGGATACACACATTCAGTGTGAACGAAAAAGAACACATCTAATGGGCCCTAAACCCTCGCTACATTTCCTCCCGCTCTGCCGTGCACTTGCCGAAGCCTCCTTCAGCCAATCTGAGTAAACACTGTCTATGGCTGGCTGATGGCGAGCTTGTCGCGGCTTTCGTCGCCTCGCTGTTCGCATTTCGCTCGCGGATCCGACTCCCTATCCTTGATACATCTCATTGAGAAAACAAGGGACGTGTCTTTGTTTTGAATCACTTTATTTGGCACCGTTTCATTATTTCTTCTTGACAACGTTGGCGGTGGCAGCCGCTGCTTTGCTGAAATCGCGAAATTCACTCCGCTTTAGCGGGTTGGCTCATGTGCTCCGAATTCCCTTTTTTTACAAAAATTCCGAATGTTCTCGCGCTAGGTACTCACCACTCGGGGACATCGCGGTGGTCTTCGCAAGTGAGCGAATACAAGGAGACTCCGGTGCCGTAGCCACAAGAGATGAGACGAGGCTTCTGGTTCACGCAGGTGATGAGCTTCGTACAATCTCCAGGATGGGGATAACGAGGGAATGGCTCGAACTTGGCAGAAAGACCTTCGGACTTATCCGGGCAGCGGAACCCGACGATGGCTGAAGACCGAAAGGAGTACGCTCAAGGGGCATCGAGTTTCCCATACCGCAGGTAACGCTCACTGTCGGAATCTATCGCATATCGGACTTCTACAATACTCACATTCTGGATCGCATCCATCAACGAGATCGGGCCAGTTGCAAGTCTTCGATCGGTCATCGTAAGCTAGTCCAGGCTCGCAATCCTTCACGTACGGGGTCCCGAATTCGCAGCGCACGTACTGCACGCAGTTGTCGGCGGGATACAGTCCCCATTGATAGTAGCAGCCGGGAGAAGAGACTGGCGGGGGCACCTGGGGACACGGTGTGTTTCATGGGAAGCCATAACGAAACTTCAATGATGATCGGCGTTCTGGATCCGATCCTTGTGTCCTATGATTCGATAAGCTACCGACCTTTTTTTGCCGCAATCGACCCTCCAGTTGAAATCACAGAAGTCGTAGGCTCCGCCTGTAGGGCTGAAGACGAGGCCGTTGGGGCATTGCGCATCGGTTACGGTGCCATTTTCGCAACGCACGTAACGGTCGCACTCATTCGGATCCTCCCAGGCATGATAGGAGACTGGCGGGCAGTTATATGGAGCCGGCGCGACTCCTATCTCTAATGAGGCCGCTGAAAAATTTACTTGCGTCGAGCAACCAGAGGTCTGTGGAATCACTTTGAGTGCACACTTATGGGTGTTCTCGGTTTTTTCCCCAGGTCAATTGCGCGGCATGGATCCACGCTGCCGATTTTTATTTCGTTGAGCATCAGAATAATATCGGCGCGAAGCCTAGAGCATCGATCCGAATTTCGGATCAGCGAGAGGTGGTAATCGATTTCCGTAATAGCGAAACGCGCCGGAAGTTCCCGTAGAACCAGATCCGTTGGAAGCATACCATTCTGTGATCTTCTTTTTTCTAACGTTCTAGCACAACTTCTGCACCACTTGGGGCAGGTGACAACGCCCCGAATACGTTACTTTTATTTTTTTGCTCACCAGAAGTATCGCAACCGCGTGGAGCCGAATGTTACCACAATGCGGGCGCACAGATTTGAGCGGCAAGCTTGCCAAGGCCACCAGGCTGCTCAGGTACGTCGGCCAAGAATTCCACGAGCGATTTCCACGAATAAAGACAAACATCATCTCGGGTGCGTGGATTCCTCACGGAAAGCGGATCGAGCCTTCAATATTCCGCTGTTGAGGAGTCCGGAGTTGTCTAGCCAAACCGATGGATGAGCTGGCTCGGTACACAGGTGACTTGGTTCTCCAATATGGCCGTCTGCTTCCGCAATATGGCAAATAACGGTTCCGCTTCCATCGTAGCGTCGGGGATCCAGACTTCCACACTGTACCCCGAAGCTTGAACCGAGACTCGTGAGGCTTACCAGAATGGACGGCGAGGACCACGACCGAGATGAGGAACAAGACCGCCATCACTGCGGTACCACGGTCCGACAAGTCTACGCGGGCGTAGCACAAGAGGCAGATAGCAACTTGCTTTCGTTCCTCTCACCGCTGGTCGGTGAGCGCCGCACCGACCCCGCTGTTTGGCTGAGGAGGTGAAAACGTTTGGCAGCTGAGGGGGTTGCATCTGTCCGGCCGCCGTCCATGGAATACTCGTGAGAATGCTCTCTACGCTGCGGCACCACGTCAAACTCAACTTGGATTCGAAGTCCTCCGATGGTTCCTCACTTCTGATATTTGTTTCTCTCTAGAATCCTGAGCTGCGCGACTTCGGAGCACTCATTTTCAGAGGGCGGAGCTCTATACATGTGGATTTTGGATGTAACTAATCATGCGCATCTGATGAACGGTGACATAGAAAGAGAGGACAGCCCTGAAGCTTGCAGTCCTTGAATGCAGTATATTGACCATTCAGCGCGGAAAAAAACTTGCACTATTATACGATCAAAAATATTTTCCCAGCCCGTGACCTTGATTCTTCAGTGATCTGTGGTTACGCACCGCTAAAACTTTTCTCTTCGATCAGGAAGGAGTCCCGATAGAAGGCTGCCGCTGGACCCAGCGATCGTTGTCCGGGGACTGGACGGGTATGGGTATCGAGAACGCTTCAAGACGAAAGGATCTGACCGGACATGAGGAAAGAAACTCGATCTTCAAATCACACATCGTAGTCCGAAGGCCAAAACCTGCTTTCCAAGCGTCGATATCCCGTCTGCTCTCACCGATAAGAATGCTCCCGCTCTGATATCCGGCGTCTAAGGCCGCTAGGAAAACTGCTAATATTTCCCGCGGTGATATATGGATGAGGGTATCGTGAGTCAGCGGTGCAAAATGGACTTGAATAGGGCTACAGATGTAAGTAATTCGTGGGGCTCAACTTCTATAGTCCGATTTGTGCCATCGAAGGTCGAATGCAAACCGCAACATTCTTGACTCCATTGAATCGAGCAAACGAATGTGGAACCAAAGACGCCCCTTGGACAAAGCGCTGCTCTCATCGATTCCGCCGCTGCTTCCGCGCCTAGAACCATCGTCGGTCACAGGTTCGGGTTGTCAACGAAATTCCTGAGGGATCCTCCATAATGTTTTCAGGTCTGCACGGATGCAAGATGCTGATTTGACTTATTGCCGTGGAACATCAGGAGACATAACATGATTCGCGTCGTCGCTGAAACGATGCCGATTCGACAGGAAGCTGCCGAGAAGCGCTGAGGTCTTCACTCGCCTTGAATAAGTTGCTATCAATCGTAGTAAATGCCCAGACAGAATGCGACGTTGCGGTAGCAGCGAATGAGGTCATCATTCCCTTGAGCGGCTTCGATAGCTTCGACAAACATTGCGAGAGCGTCGACAGGCGTTCTGGCATCATACCACACTCTGCGAGCGAATTTCCGCGCCTCCTGCCTCGAAGCTTGTGACACTTTCTCGAGCTCCACACAGTTGAGATGAATGCAGTGGACAATGATGGGCTCTGGAATCAATTCTGCCAAAATTGAGCTTGAACCGGTGGACTGGGGAGCTTGGAAACGTAGGTTTCGGAACAAACCCTTCTCTTCGGTAACGAATTGGGCTCCGACGAAAAGAGACTGGCTCTCGAGGATTACTAATAAAACGTGGGCAAGGAGCATGTCCAAGCTCGCCGAATCCTTCGTGGACTCTGAGCTGAACAGGGACTGCTCACAAGGATCATGGAGCGATCAGCCGAGCCGCTCAAAGAGAACTTCCGATTACTCAGTGCTCATAGAATCGAAGATTATGCGAGCCCTTCTCAGTGTACTCGATAAACCCATCGATCCGCAGAGTCTGGCACTTCCACTCAGGGGGAAAGATTACGTGTGATCGGGAGAATTTTCCGCTTCCGACGGTCAAACTATAAAATTGTTGGTCTTACTCTTTCATGGTGCTTGACGCTCTGGTTCCACCAGAAAACATTCTCGGCCAACGGACCCTTCAAGGTGAGTGAATTCGTGCTTTGGCCGAATCGGAATTTAAATCGCCCAGTCATTATGAAGTATCGAAGTCGTCAGAATCGTATCACACAGTATCGATTCAGCTCCAGCTCGGGAACTCAGGTCAGAGAGTTCCCCTCGAGCCACTCGAGTACAATTATTTCGTTTGAGCGGTTTAAGTTCCTATGACCATGATCCTGGGCGAAATTTGAGTCCCAGTCATTCTGCTTTTAGTACATTCTGACTCCCCTCATCGAGTTCTCTCCGCATGGCAGATTCCAGAGTCATCAATGCCGGAGATTCGAAAAGCGTCTATGACTTTTTGGTTTGCAAGCCCAAGATTCACCCCTTGAAAAAGTAGGTCGACGCGCGACGTGGGCTCAAGGTCGTCTTCGCCCGCGCAGTTGATGACACGTGTAGCTCCGACGACCCGATGTCGGAAAAAAATACGTGACGGAAAGACTGAGACAGAACATCGGGCAGGTACGAATGAGTCGAAGTATTGGGGGCGGCAACGTCAGCGATCACCAGCGTTGACACCTTGTGTCCGACGGATCGAGACGAGTCCCTTCCCCCCTACGGCATTGGAGAGCGAGAAATCGTGTTGGCTCGACATCAAGTCAGGAGACGATGATGAGCAGGTTGCTCAGATAAGTTCTTCTCCGAAAAGAGAAAGACTGAATTCATGACTTGTTGCTATGTAAGACCAATCGAATGTCTTCTGAATGAGACCATTAACCGGCCAAGCGATGAACATACAAACCCCGTCTACGCTATCCGGGCCGTATGAAAGCGTTTTCTAGCTCCTCGGAGCATCCTCCCTCGATTTGAGTCGCGCCTCAACTTACGTCGCAACAACGCGCACCAATTATTGATATAAGTCGAGGTTCGACCTCGGTTGCGTCGGTCCGTCAGGCGCTATGATGAACAGATTCAGGCGGGGAACGTATCTAGATCTATGGGAGCTCGTCCTCGAAGCCCTTTCGCAGACGGGAGGGTGCAGAGAAAGTGCATCCGTCTGCGGAGACTAGGTCGCTGCGGTTGATCTTGGCCTCGTGTACTGCAGGGGTTCCAGGCCCAATCTCTGTAGCACCAAGGGTGAACTCCTCTCGTCAGGCTCCTCCCGAAAATATTTCACCTAGCGCCACCGTCCTTACTTCCTCTACCCATCCCCTCCTACACCCAACATATTTTTCGATCCAAGAGGTCCTATTCTTCCGGCTTATGGAACCCGCTCTCTTGTGATGCCCATTGAAATCAATAGAGAGCTCTCTATCCTCAGAATGAAAGTGTCTTCTTAGGCTCTCTGCGACTTCCCCCTCGCTGGATTGATGCAGTCAGCCTCTGAAGTACAGAGAGGCCTCTATTTCTTTTCCGATAAAAATTCCAAATGCAGCCAATGAGATTTCTCCTTTCGTCCACTGACGAATGGAGGAAACAAGGTCGAAGGAGAAACAGAAGCCTCGAGGCATAGATGCGCATGTGATTCTCGGAGCAGCCATTGAACACTCACCAGGAAAAACATATCATATCTTTATTGCAAGGTCAATAAGAATAATAATGTCTACGGTCATTCACCGGAAGATATTGGTATGATTCCGTACGAGGGTTCTCGTAACATGATGTTCGCCGTTCGGGACATTTTCTGACTGAGAGGAATCTGCCTGACTACTTTCCCCCCATCATCTCTCTGGCGATGATCATGCGCTGGATCTGAGAAGTTCCTTCGTAAATCTGGTAGATCTTAGCGTCTCTCATCAGTTTCTCGACGGGATAGTCAGTATTGAATCCGTTTCCACCGAAAATCTGAACCGCGTCCGTGGCACACTTGTTGGCAACATCGGAGGCCAGAGCCTTCGAAATCGAGGCGTAGTAGGTGTTCCTTCGGCCCTGATCGATCTCCCATGCCGCCCGCTGCCAGGTGAGACGTGCGGCCTCGACGCCAATCGCCATGTCGGCCAAGAGGAACTGGACGGCTTGGTGCTGGAGCCCAAGTAAAGAGGAATTAGTGAGTCGATTGGAGACTCATGTGGAGTCGGAATTCAGAATGAGCGACGACCACGTGATAGTGCCGAGAAATCTCTCTCTCGCCCGGGGAACTTACCGCGGCGATCGGTTTCCCGAAAGTCTTCCTCTCAAGGGCGTAATTCTTAGCTTCGTCAAGCGCTCTCTGTGCGAGGCCGGTGGCCGCGGCAGCGACAGGTGTCCTCGTTTTGTCAAATGTCATCATGGCAACTTTGAAACCGTCTCCTTCTTTAAGAAGTACATTCTCCTCCGGCACTTCAACATCCTCGAACGTGATGCCCCGAGTGTCTGACGCCCGTTGTCCCATATTGATCTCTTTGCGACCCGGAGTCAAACCCTTGGAGTCCCTGGAACGAGAAATTCATCCAGTCGATTCGATAGTGAGCAGGAGAGACGCAAAAGAAACGAACATCCTACGAAGCCCGGGTAGGTTTCGAATTCACGCAACACACCTATCGACGATGAAGGCTGTGAAGGCCTTCGATGCCGGACACTTGGGGTCAGGGTTCGTTCTGGCCAACAAGAAGTACCAGCTCGCGACACCGCCGTTCGTGATCCACATCTTTTGTCCGTTGACAACCCATTTGTCTCCTTTCTTCTCTGCCTTAGTCTTGATCCCAGACACATCGGATCCGGCTCCGGGCTCAGTGACGCAGTAAGCAGCTACGATGGGCTCCTCGAGGCATCGTCCCAAGTATTTCTTCTGCTGCTGGGGGTTGCCGGACAGGATGACGGGAGTTTGCTGGGGATTCATTTTCCATGTTTTAAATCGTGATCAACCGGGCACAATCGTTCATATATGATCCACCATTGATTTCGAAAAAGCAGAACGCACCGCGAGCTCAGTGGAAGTTATTGCTAATGCTACACCGGAGCAGCCGTAACAAAGTTCTTCGACCACCATGCAATCTTCGAAGACTCCGAGGCCCAATCCGCCTGCAATCGGTAGTTTTCGTTTATTGCGTGGATAGTCTCGGAAATCTTCCGTCTCTACAAAGCCTTAGCTGAGCTCGGGGTGAGATCCACTTGGAGAAAAAGTTGCGGTTCTCATACCCCCAGTCCGGTGGCTTCAATGACCGTTGAGATACCAGTGCATGCCCAGGCAAGTTCCTCAGTGACTATGCAGGAAGGCAAAACTCCCAAGCCCATACCGCCTACAGAGTTCAAATCTCGTTGAGATTCAATTGTCGCCATTCCTTCGCGGAGCCCGATATGAACCCAGATCGATTCCATCCAGCTGGAATCGTATCAGCAATCGTCTCTATGATCGTGAAGTTCCGACTCGGAAAGTGCGCGGTCATTTACACCATGACTCGGGGAAACGCAGCTCTCTTAAAGCTTCCCGCGCTATCGCTCGCCTGCCAAAGGTTGTTCCATGATCTTTGCCCCCTCTGGACTCCGGTACTGGCAGTCACGGATAACTCGCTCAAAGAGCGTCCAAGCGGCTACTCGCGCTCCGAGTTTTTCATCGATTCGCGCAATCAGTCGCTACCGCATTTCCCGAATTCCTCCTCCCGGTCGTGAGGCAAGTTAGTACGAATCAGGTATCTATCGAATGGGTGGATGACTCCATGGATTCATCGAATTAGATTCCCCGGAGCGCTTACCGATACTCTGCGGAATGCCGAGATTCATGAGACCGACTTCATGAGCTTTCTTCACGATGTCCCATGGGAACTGAAATGTATGAAAACTCGATAAGAAAGTTAGCGGAAAAGCATTGCCTGCGTTCTGGGAGCGTCGGGTCCGAGAACACGACGTCATCAGGTTCTACTGAGTCTGTATAATTACCTCTCCAGTTTTGTCGTAGTCAGCCGCTTTCGGCAGAATTTCCTCCCGAGCGAATTTTCGCGCCAGGGTTTGCATCTCTCGCTGTTCATCCGTCAGATCTGCCAAGGGTGATCAACGCTGAGAAAGTATTTCGGGGAATAGAATCCGCTTTTACCGCAGCTATCAGTGAGAGTCATGCAGTCTGAATGCTTTCTGTCATTACCGAAACTGATTCCAGACATCGACCGGAAGCATTGTCTGGCCTGCGCGGGCAAAACCCTGAGCACCTGAGAAGACGAAGAATTTCATCATTACAGACGGGCCGCCATCTCATTATGAAGCTGCGCATTCGGAAGCTACGTGAACACGTCGTGAGAATCAGTGCGCGCAAGATACAGTCAGTCCTCGATGGATAGAGTCATGTCGACGAAAGGGCTCCTCGAAAATCGTTGATCGATAGGAATCACGCAAGGGAGGAACATTAGCGGCAAGCGGAAACCGACTCTTCTACACAGAGCAACGCATTTGGCTCGTCAGAGATATTTATAACCGCCCGGCCGCCTCGGTCACGAGAGAGTTGACAGGTCGTCTTAGGTCGCAAATGCTCTCCGAGGGTAAAATTCGATTTTCATTCTCAACTCCAATCGAAGACGCATGTGAGCCCGATCGGTGGTGTGTCTGATCCGTGACCTCATCAATCAAACTTGTCGCTGATGAATCGAGTGTTCGCGTATGCAGAAGACTTCAGAAGAATGTCTGAACGCATACGTGAAGCTCCTGATTTAATCAAAGCTTACCTATGTAAACTATCTCCCCCACCCCGTTGTTGCCAGCAATAAACGAGGCTTGAAATTGGATTGAAAATGAAATATTGTTCCAAAGCTGAGCTCATCACAGAGAACCTCCTAGAGCGCCGAATCTGGCGAGCGGCCTCGCAGGAGTAATGATTTTCCTTTCCGCTTCTCGCAATCCATCGTTCATTGTTCTAGTCAACCGATTCAGATGTCGCCAGGCTCTCAGAGCCGGCGAGAAACGAAAAAAAAAGAAACAAGGGAACGCCGCATCACTCATCAGCACAGGAAGAAAATGACTCAAGAAACTTCTGGGGAGATGGAATCAGCCGAGTAAAATGATGTCGAGGCGACTTTCGTGAAAACTCGCTTCCGCAGCCTGTTTCAGAGACCGCCACTCCGCGATCAACGACGTCAGCGTCTGCATGAACGTAAACCCAGTTGTCTGTGGATTGAGCGTTTCGTTGGAGCCTCGTTGTCTGTATAGCTGCTGCCCGTGGTGGCGAAGGTGGTGGCGGCGGCACCAGCAGAAGCTGTGGCCAAAACAGTCGGCGAGTGAAGTAGACGGATCAAGCGGTTGCTCGTTGGAGCTACGAAGAGGGAGGCCTCCTTCATGTGACGTACAGCGAGCGGATAACGCTCGTGAAGTTGTTTGATTTGAGTTTCGGCAGTTCACAGTGGGCTCAGATCTGAGGCGATTCGACAATATTTGGTGAGTGTGGACCAAGATTCGATTCCCGAGCGAGAAATACGGAGCCTTGCAAGCCAATAGCGCGGAAAAACGCTGTATTGTACATAGGCGTGGTAGAACTTGAGCCCTGCATAAATCAAAGATTACTTCTGCGTGTTGTCTTTGAGCGCATCATGTGGCGTTCGATAGTTTTCGCGACCGACATGGGGTAAAACTCGGCTTATGATTGTCAGAATCGAGTACCGATTCTCCATACCGGAACACTTGTTGTGCTTGCCACGCCAAGCCCGAAGCGGCGACGATCATCTACTCAACTTTCACGAAACTGAGCTCGATCACGGACAGCCTCAGTGAAATTCGAGAATGAGAGTCCTTGCAATTTCTAGTTTGGGCGAGCTAGAGTGCGATGTTGTAGAAATACAGGTGGGATAAAAACAACTATTTTTAGATGACTTTGACCGATGCGTGACATCGAGCCCAATTGCATGAATTCCTCAAAATTCTGACACGCGACGTATTCTACGGAGCAACATATCAGCCAACAGATCACGAATTCATGAGACAATAAGTCGATTTCTGCCTAAAGTGGCGTACCTTCGAGGACAGCATTCTTGCGGTTGGGGATCGTTCTGACGACTGTGGCCAAATTGCACGCGAACGAAAGGAGAGCTGCGGCCGGAAAGAGCAGGGCGCCATTTTTTGAAAGCGCCAGCCGGCGACCACGATAAGCGGGAAATCTGTCGGCACCGCGACGCTCGCTACCAATACTCTGAGCGGTAGGCGAGCTCCCGAAACTTTCTCTTAAAGCACGAAATCGCTCGCTCTCGGCTTGACTTGGCTTGATTCTTAGACATCCCTAAAACCGCAGCTCCGTAATCATGATAATCGGAAGGCGGAGAGCGCATATGCCGTCCGACCCTGTAAACGAAAATGTCATTAGAGCCGGGCTAATCCGCTCTTGGATAGGATGAGGAAGTCTTGCAAATCTCTTCAACTGCCGTCTCGACATTTCTGACTTGGCTCTCGGTGTCCAGCCTGTTGACACCGAAGATCCCGTGACCCTGCTAGAACATTCAAGAAGCTCATCTTCCTCTCGTATGCGTGTAGCACTGGAGGGCAGCTTCTCTTCTCACACTGCTGGAAAATTTTGTATTTCATTCGGCATTCCTATGTGTGGTTTCCTCCATGGTAAGAGAGGGGCTTCCAGAGGGATGGCCGGTCCGGGAGGATTCCCCGTCTGATTGCCCTCGGAGATAACTCGGGCAATCATTGACATATGTGGACTCATGATCACCGTTAATTTCCTCATATGACGGAGCCCTCATTGCGCGTGAATATGCAGCATATGGCGAAAGCTACGTGCAGCGGTTCCCCACAGATATCAAATGTCCTATTTTAAGAACTCTCTCGGGTAAAGAAACTCCCGCGAGAGGGACCCCTTCAGGAGAAACCGTCCGACGATAACGACGTGACGTAAGGGGGCTCGTTCCTCGGAAGTCTCATTATTTGAGCGAGTTCTTCATGAGAGGAAGTTCATTACCTGAAGCGGTGTGTCTCACGAAGTGCTCCATGCTAGGAGACACCTCCTTACGATGCAGACACCTAAGTACAGAGCTCTCCGGATCGATCCTTTGATTCGCTGAGAGCTGAGAGTCATGCGGATCCAGAATCTGAACTTACAACTCTGGACCTAGAAGTGATCCGAGCTCATTCGCGGGCGCGGTGATCGCATTCGGAATTTCTCCAGGTTCCAGGATTCACGACAGGGCCTTGCATACGATGAATACGATTTGGGTTCCTTCCTGATAGCAATGTCCGACATGTCTTGATTGTTGCTTGCATCATCGGGGCGGCCATCACGGATGTTCCGTGCTCACTCCCGCGAATTCAGAGCCTACACGGGCTCGTTCGCAATCCGTCAGCCCCGTCGGAGGCTTCTTGGATGTGCTTGGCACATCTCCCCATGACCTGAAATTCTTCGTGTGACGAATCGCTCGGCCTCATCCGGATAGCGGAGTTCACAAGATGGCATACCCGAGTTTGGGTGAGCGTAGTTTCGAATCGGCAGAGAAAGTGTGTCTGGGAATGTACACCGAATCAAAGTTAACGCGATATTCTATCTTCCAGAATCTCGCCTCTCCGGTTGTCTCAGTTGAGAATGAAGAACCGACGCTACGACTTCGATGGCCAACGCAAGTGGTGGGAGGTGAGTGCTTCAACTCGGAGCGGTTCCTCTACCGTAGTGTCGGATCTCGAATAGGTACCCCTTTTTGCCCGCTATCTTTTTGGATCATCTTCTTCCGGAAACGACCGTGCTGTCTTCTCCAAGCACTCCCTCAAGCAGATGGTACACCGGGCTGGATGGAATAGTCAGCTCTCACCGCCTCCTGGTGGAGAGGACCTTCCCCGTACAACATAACTATATAGTGCACCGTCTATTCTCGAATTCGGGAGGGAAGGTATAGTGATGTCCACCGATCGTTCGCTACTTGCTCTCGTGACAACTTGCTCTTTCCGCCTCCTCATTTCATGGGTTGAGATCTAGTCGAATACGTCCATAGTTTAAATATTGTCCAGTGTCTGTGGAGGCTGTCATCTCAGAGGGCGTAAAGTCCGGGCGGCTAGCTCCCCGATTGACCTCATTCCGCCGACCCAGAGCTGAAATTCGCTGTCAAAGCACTCCGCTGTTGACTCGCACTCATACCATGGAAGGATAATATCCGAGCGAAGGATCTCTTCCACGGTACCTGGGACCCCCGTCTTGGCGAGCGATCCTACTCTGAGCTCTCAAGCATCCCACGAATGGGGGTCGGAGTCATGACCCAACAGAGGTTTCGCAAGTTCAGGGTGTATGGTCCGGTACGACTTGTTGCTGATTGGCGGCAGAACTCTAGAGAGGGCGCTGCATTCTGTTTATGAGAAGCCCTCTGCGAGGGGCCTCACCCGTTGCTCACAGTACAGCACGCATTCGTTCCGAGAGCGTTTTCGGAACTGGGTCCCGGCGACCTGCAAATTGGAGTTGTCGTCTAGAAATCGATCTTGTTCTTGTATCGGACTTGTGAGCCTGTCAACGATTGAATTTCCGCCGAGGAGCGTCTCGTGACGGGTCCTATTGATCTCCCGCGCGCGAACCGTGTTCCCGAACCCGATACGTTTGGCGGCGGCGTGAATCGCTTGCGCGAGAACCGCGGTAGCGCTCTGAGAACCTTGGACCATCGCTGGAGAAGTGCTGCCGCCGTACTTTTCGGACGCCGAAATCAGTTCACCCTCATAGGCTGTTCGTGCTAATTCAACTCTCATAAAGCATGTTCCTTCGATCGACACTCCTCCATCGAACGCGCTCTTAGACAGCGCCAGGATTATTCCCCATATCAGCAAGTGTAATCCGACTCCACGATCGTAGACGTGTCGTTTTGCCTGAGAGAGGTAATTCATAAAGCTTCCTCGGTACTTCGGGTTGATTTCGAGATAATACAAGTACGTGTCCCATCCCGCTTGGCGGGAACGTCAGACGGAGCTGATTCACCTGGATTGGAGAAGTGTGACATTGTCGATTCTCCCGCTCCGAATATCCGCCCCACGACTAGATATTGCGTACCATCTCTGGAATATCTGATCAGAGAGATGATTTGACAGTATGACGAGCCCAAGAGAAAAACTCGACACGCTCAATCGAATGGATTCGAAACTCAAATAGATCAGCTCTGAAGCCATCTTATTGTCCCGACCCTCGCCGTGAGTTCTTCGATGAGAATTTCGAAAACCCTCGCTGATTTCCAGTGACGAAAGACTGATTATTTCCCGGAAAATCACCTAAAGATTAGCGTGATTTGTGAAACAAATGTTTCAGAATCAAGGTATCGATCTAACCACACTATAGGTTTGTGCTCTTGATCTATCGATCCCCATCCACCGACGAGAGAACGTCCCCGATCTACGACAAGGTTTTCGGCCTAGCAGAGCGAATTCATAGCACCTAGGCTTCCTCTGGAGAAGGGAAAGGCGGGCACAGAAGGGTGTTGCCCACCTTTGATTTCCTGAGGTACCGATCGAATCAGCAGCGAGAGTCAGCGAAAAATATGTATATTGAGGTACCAGGATCGCTCCGGTTCTCGGTGGTCGGACGGAGATACAACTCCTGCACTTAGATCGCGGTAGATACACTGGCGTGAATATCGGTAGTGAGGTGATTAGCGATGTTGATCTATTCCTCGCTGAATAACTAAGAACGGAGCGAGCCGTAGCCACGCCGCGGGTTCTATGCCGAGGGCAGACTCGAAAATTCTGAAGTCAGATCTTGAAGGAGCGACTCCGTCGATTTTTGGTGGAAGGTCTCGGGAGACCCGCGAGACCTTCCCGATGAGGACTTGTCTCGTCCTGTGGAACCAGAATATTGACGTGAGTCGTCGCTGATTCAACATCACGAAAATGACTTAGTTCTTTGATTTCAGTTTTGGAAAATGGGTGATCAGAGTAATGGATCCCTCTCTGCGGTGGAGATGCCTGAGAGAGCGGCTGAGCCCACGGAACCTCAACCTGTCGAAGAGGAGATCCTCGTGGCTGACAATTGGGAGGAGCTCGACGCTGCTTACAAAATGGAACCCGACTTCGAGTACGATGAACAGTACGGTGAGTGCGGACATATGATTTACGCGGATGTGAAACGAGCCTCGGGTGAAGGTCTTGATCAACCTCAAAGCTGAAACAGCCTCGGATCGCATCAGGGCTCGAAAGTTGAATACCTTTTAGACTTGCACTGAGTCCGCGGACATAGAGATTTGTGCTTTCACAGAAATGAGGGAATGAAAGCTATTTTGCCGGCGCGAGAACGTCGAGAACCGCGACCCAGGGATCAATCTCATGAGCGCGAAAGACTCGTTCTGATGACGACCTCGAGATTTCTACGTCAGCAGCACGCCATATTCCGATCCTGGATCGGTCAATGCGTGCTGGTTTTCGGCTGAGTTACGGGGAATTCCTCCTGAGTCAGTGTGACCCGGAATTCACAATGACCGCCTCGCTGTAGGGGCAGGGAGGTCCGTAGAGAAGAAACCCTGAATGTTACCCTGCCCATATTAGCGATGTTTTGGAGGGAATTACCTGCGAGTGATCTTCGATTCTCCAGCATTCATGAAAGCCAGAGCGTTACTTCCTGGAACGTGTATCGTTTGTATGTTCCGTATTCAGCACGTCGCGCTTTGATAGCAACAACTGTCGGGGAGAGTAGGTACGTTCACTGTTAGGGATCCATCACCAGGTCAGCCCGGAAGCGACCTGATGTGACCCGACGTCGAGACCACCACAGGCTCGCTATCAGTGGCGGAAAGTATGGGCACACATATAATGAGCACAGCTCGATACCAAAGATTGTTCTAATTCATGCTTCGTTTGGTGCGTATACCTCCGAAGACATCATCGATTTTGCATCAGTTGAGCCGGAACCGCGCTAATCATGAGGGCGCCACGCTAACGGAGGTAGTCGATGAAGTACGTCCGAACGCTGCTTGAACGTCAGTCAAAACGACCGCATCTCGCGAAAAATATTTATTTCGGAAGGATTCACCCTCGAACCAAGAGTTCGCGATCGATGGTTGAGACGTCCCCGCAGCGGTCGTCTGAAACTCCTAAAAAAAACTGCCTTCGATTCCCGGTGTTCTCGATTGATCGAATCTGTCGCGGTTCCAAGTCACAGACAGCGGACCCCAGAGTTCAGATGCGAAATACCCGGGAGAAGAATAAGAATCGCTAACAAATTGGAGCGAATCCGCACCCAGCCTCCTAGATCTCCTCCGGAGGTTTTCAAGAACATTGCGGCGTTCCAGAGCTGGCCTGAGGGCAAGGGCATATGCACATGGCACATGCAATGAAGGATTTTTTCCGGAGGGGGAGTGGCTATAGCCCCTTTACCCCCCCCGCCCCCCCCTCCCCCCTCCGCGTACGCCCCTGCTTGAGGGAGCGTCGAAGCGACGACGGGCGGGAACGAAATCAACAGGAGCCGCGCGTCTATCATATGGCTCAGGCCGCCGATGCCATCAAGTTCGACGACTTCAGTCTTACGAAGCAAGAAAGTGACTCAAGGCCGACGAAAGAAACCAGTGAAGAGTATCGTTGCGAGGATGAGCACCCGACAAAAGACTCGATGGATAGTTGCGTCCGATGCCTTACCCTCTCGCTGGGAGTGTCTTTCTGGAGCTGATGGAGCCTCACAATTTCTGTACTCTCGATAAAATGAACCTATCGAGAATAATTAAAATCTCCCGCGGATCTGCACTCCCGGCTATCTACGTCAAGAAGATACGCCGAATCTCGGCTCGGATCTGAGAGTATCGGGTTCGCGATCGTCTTCTCGCGGAGACAGCCCGCAATCGTGCCCATCAAAACTTGGACGGAGCGCGAGAAGATACGGCACCGTAGAGATCCTCCTTTTATCGAGGCAGATCGAGCCTGAGACATTCTAATCGATTGCTGCTTGTGTTCCGAATGGAGCGTCATCGGAAAAGGTCCGATCGCGAGCGATCCTGATCTGGGCTGTGCCGAAGCTGTTCAAACACGCATTGCATCATGACGCGGTCATCGAGCTCGACCGGGAGGGAAGGAGGGCCGATGCATGGGCCCTCATTAGAAATTGGCAGCAGTTCGATTTGTGAAGATATCCGGATGCTCTCAGGAATGACCTATGGTCGGGAATGAGGCTCGCTGTCCGCGGTCATTCCACTGATGAACACCTCGTCGAGAATGATAGTAGTTCTTGACAAATCTGCCTTCATCGGGCGCTCTCCCACTCACTCACCCGCCCGGTCTGGCTGTCCATCGCAATTGTGGTTCAGCCCTCTTTCCGCAAGAGAAATCCGCATCCCCCTTTCCCGGGTCATCCCTGTCCCGGTGAGCGCCAGAACACCATGCGAGCTGCACAGACTATTCAGCTCAGAAATGTCTCATTGTGATGATGGTGAATCTCTAAGGCTGAAGTCGTTCAAGATGGACTAGTATGTAGTTACTGATGAGTTCTGAGGAGCGGAGGCTGTGGTTGGAGAATGTCTTGCATCGCAGACTGTTGCTGCTATGTCCCACCCCAGGATCGGATCCTCAGGAGACGGAAATTAGATGGTAGGTTTCCATCAGCTTCGATGAATCCTGAACAAAACCTCGGAACTCAAAGGGACCTCTCGAATCGAACTTTCCCCTCGAGCGCCATCACGATCGCGAGATCTGCTGCTGTCATCGAATCTATCCTCACTCAGTGAGTGAATGGATTCCGTTCGCTTCGTGTCTCCGATAGTGAAAGTCAGCTGTTTCCTTACTAAGGAAGTGCTCTGCTCGGAGCGTCGGGAGATCTGTTCCGTATTGCCCTACAAGCGACTAAATTGACGCGTCGTTCTTTTCTCTCGGTCATGGAACGATGACACAGCCTCGACTCCGTACGATGCGGCATTCACTAGACTAGCCAGCATTCCAGCATTCTCTAGTCATTGAGAAGTCTTCCACGAGCGAACAATTTCCCGATCTGATCTTTCTTCTCGATCCTCGGTGCTTTGCTGGCTGCGGCTGACTTCATAGCGGCAGCCTGTCTCTGGCACTCAGAGAGACTGTGGGTTCTTGGAGAAAGGGTCACGCTTAAATCAAATAGCCGGAAGTGGATCGTGACTAGGTCCGAACAGAGCACTCGGACATGAAGCCAGCAAAAGGAAGGCTTGCATCAGGAAGAAGAACTCAAAGTCGCCAAGCTGATTGCGTGACTTGAGAGGGATCAGATGGTCCGCGCGCAGGGCTAATGCTCTTCGTGAGCTTCGCGTTATTTGGATATATTCTTGGAAATCTCACATTCCGGCCCTTCTCCGCCAATCGCCCCCACCCGAACGCAATGTGAACGAAATTAAGTTCATTGGGAAAGGAGTTCATCTTCATGCCCGATAGTCTATAGCAGGGGTGTCAAAGAGGCGGCCGATCCTCGGGAATTCCATGGGATAATATCCTTGTAGTTTTCGAATCGCGAATAGAACGAGTCGACTCTGAAAAATCGAGAATCGATTGTGACTCATCATGCATATACTTATGTGTTTCCCTCCAGCTTTCCGCGCAAACAGCGTGAATTAAGAATAATGTCGAAAAAATCTGTGGATGTGGCCCGCCGGCTTCTCCCAGTGCTCCTTCGTGGCCCGCCGAAGATTCGACTTTGACACCCCTGGTCCAAAGTCTATCGGAATGCGTCAATCGTGCCCGCTCCTGCGGTTTCCGAAATCAGAACAAATCATACACGTATCGCGTCGGAGCCCCGATTCGGTCCTCGTCCTCCCCGCGACTCTCCTCTGGAAACGAATAGCCTTCCGAGTGCATCGAACTCATCGGACGTCGGTCTGGAAGGGATCCAACCACTTTCACTTTTTTCCGCGCGCGACGTAGGTCTCATCGCTCGATTTTTCGGGTCTTCGCGAATGACAATGCTCGGTGCCAAGCTGAAAAGAGAACATCCGACTTCACTGCGCAGCTGTCCACGTCATGCTTGTTGCCCGTCGCTGTGGTATTTGAGCATAATTTCCTGAACCAAAGCGCTCGGTGACACACCGCGATCGCGACTTTCTGGAAAGCAGCCCATGAACTCTTCTACCCGGATGGGAAGCAATTCCTCTTTGATGTAATGTCAATTATTTCCTCTGCTGTCATCAAACTCTCAGAGAATTGTCGGGCACTCGCGTAATTCGTGAGACTGAGCCTCGGATGTTGCGAACGATTCACTCAGGAAGGCCAGCTCCGGAGCAGCACATGCGATTCCGCACCATGAGACTGCGGGACGATCTGGGATTGTCGCATGTCTGTCCATGCTATCGGCCCTACGTTGGAACAGAAAATCGAACTTGGATCCGTGACGTCCTGAGCTCAGCTCATCTATGACATTCGATTCGGTAAGAGTCGGAGGCCGCGATCATATGATTCAAAAAGGGAAGATGATCCATGATCTGCCCATCCTAGTCGGATGGGATCCAAATGGTAGATTTGATCTGCCCATCCTAGTCGGATGGGATCCAAATGGTAGATTTGCCTAAGCGGGCCTTCGATACAGGGAAGCGGCAACCTCTAGTGTTTCGATTATAGGCTGCTTCTGAGTCGTCCGAGGTCTTTCGCAAGAGGTTCCGAGGAACGTTTCCGAAAATGCGGTTTGCGAGTGGGAAGTGGGATTCCTCGATTGAAGCAGTTGTATAATCTGGCGGTGCTGAAACTTCTCCCTTCCAAGGTAATCACATGGCAGATTTTTCGAATTTCAAAATTGCCTTTGTCGCGAAAGTGATGCGAGAATTCAACGGAAAGACTCCCATGTCCCGATCGTTGCGAGACATCGTCCATGAATCAATTCCGTTGTGTCAATTGAACGTCGACAAATGATGCAGGAGGCCTTTGAAGAACCGTCTAAAACTATTCAAAATTACAATGACGCTTGAGCGTTTCGGCCGGAACGAATCCGGTCACGTCCTGGAAAAGTGTGCAGCGCGAAAAATCTATCTGCTGTCACTGTCGGGCAGAAATTCTGCACCTCATGGTCGGATCCGCCCGTGACCTCGCGAGTAAAGCTCTGCTAGTCACTACGGAAAGCGACAGTGGAAGCTGGGCTTCACAGAACCCATCCCAACGTGAGC